TAAAAAAAAGTCAATTATGTAACAATAAATTATGTTATAATTAAGTTACAATACTACATGATATGATAATTACAACATTTTCATTAATTTTAAGTAAAAAGAAAAACAAGAATTAAAAATCTTAATTTTTAAATGTAAAATGTAAAATTAAAACTCCTTTTGAAATTATTCAAATATCCTTATTGAATCTTCTTTATATATTAATTTATCAAAGGTATTTTCCTCAATGCCTCAAATAATAGCTTTTCCTTTTTATTTAACACGTGGTTTTAGTCTTAAGAATTAAATTTATTGGTAAATAAATGTGGCTTTATATGTTAGGTCTAAGATCAAATTTTGAGACTAGTATACAACAAAATTAATTTTCTTACACGCATCAAAATGATGTAAGGCGCTCCATTAGTCTGTGTTTGGCTTGAATGAATAGGAGAAATAATTTTTTTACCAAATAAAATTATAATATTAAGAAATAAAATAATTTAATTAGTCAAAAAATTTATTCCCCTAATTCTCTCAAACTTAATATAATTAGTAGTAAAGCTTTCGGTGTTACGTGATCACAACTTGAACAATAGTGACATATAGCTTCCCTAATTAAGAATGAGACACAACTTTCTTAATTATTTCTAGCTCTATTCTGATGGGATCATGATTTATCTAATTAAAGAAAAAGTGAGATTGAGGAAAAGTTTTAGTTTGTTGAAATAATGCCTTGTTTTTTGTCTTCCACATTAGATGCTAACTTGTTAAGGATGTTTTCAGCACTAACAAATGTTGAGCATTGCCCTTTTTCTTCTTAAAGCATGTAGAACAGACCTTGAAGTCATAAAATTTTAGTGATATTTTAAGCATTCAGTCCTTTTTTTTTTTGCTTTTTGTGTTGACGGTTGCCCTTAGCTTATTCTAAACATTACATTTCCTAATGTTTATAAGGCAACATATGAAGATATATTTCTGCATATTTTGTCTAACTTGTAGGTTGTTGTATTCCCTTATTTAAAAAAAGTATTGTAAATTGCATTAGGGTGGACAATTAAAGTATTAGATCGATGAGAATGAAATTTTTAAAGGATTAAGGAAAATTAAGACATTTTAATAATTAAAAAATTAAGATTGATCATAAAAAAAAATTAAAATATCTTTAATAAATCAACATATTAAAAAGATTAGTTAAGAACATTTGAATAATTTTACAATAAATCTTGATATTTAAAGTATTAAGATATCTTAATTTTTATTTTTTTAATATTAGAAATTCAAAAAAATATTTTACAAGACAAATTAT